CTTAAGCATCTCATTCATCCTTAAACTCCTGCATCTGAAATTTCAACAAATTTTTACCTGGTTGAGGTTTGCTGATACCTTCCAATCAACAATAAAACAGTTGCCACTGTCGACCCTTTATGGGCGTCTCAAAAGTCATCCAACGGGGATTCGTCTGGTGGTTAGTGTACTTGGCCTACAGCAGGTTATGTAAACTGCCATGTCATGAACTTTGCGAAAAAGATCCTGCCACGAAGAGGCCGTCACTCCACATCCTTCAAAGTTTTAAAGCATCAAACAGATGATCGTTCTTTAAGAGGAGCCATAGTTTGGCTTGCAAATTATCCCAACTTGTGTTTTCAGCTATTCTTTCATGGGAAGGGACCTACTTTCAAGCAGATTTGGAATGTATTCTGCCTTAGTAAAAGATTTTCTTAGTGTCAAATCGATTCGTCAAACAAAATGACAACATAGAATGTGCGCCAAACTACCCGCTGGAATTTTGCTCGTGTCATTTCATGAGTTAGGTCATCTACTCTACAGTAGCTGGCCTATCTTATAAAATGTTAACCGCACTTTTGAAAGGTGTTCTTGACTCGAACAAATGACTTAGCTGGGGTTGTAATACTGATTATCGAGCGGCATAATCCCCAGATATTTCATTTATGGCAGGATGTTGGCATTTGAATGAGCCTCGCTCTGATTGCCTACAAAAACTGCACTCAGAAAAAGTGTCTTCTTTAGTAGTATGAATTTTATTTTGACGGGGGCATGCCTTTATAAATTTCTCTAGCTAGTATAGAAAACAGTTACAGTATTCTTTTTTATACGTATTTGGTGGTAAATCATATCTTATTTGAATTGTATTCTATCGGTCTTAAACTTTAGTACTTGGGTTATTTTTTAAGACTCTGGAACCCCCATCCAAATAGCATCGTATCTCTCCGATTATTGATGGCCCGTCTAGGGTATACAATGCATAGAATAAAACATATTATTTAAGTGGGCATTTTTCCGAGTGTAGTTTCTACAGGTGGTCAGAACTAAACTCACTCAAAAACCGGCTTTTTGTCATGACTGAGGTTTTGGTATTTTTATGTTACAACCTCACTTAAGCAACCCTCTCTAATCGAAAGCGCATTTCAGAAATTCGGTTAATATTTCATGAAATAGACCCAGTACTGCATATGTTATCATTCTGTCCACTTGTTGAGAATCTTTTCTGCTACACGGAATAATCACGCTGAGAAGAAAGTCGTTACGCGCATGTGTTGGGTCTTCTTCACGTCTTTTCGGTAAATTGAAGAGTATTTAATCTGAAGGAGGTACATTATTCTCCATACCTTTTGATTTAAATGTTAGTATTTCTGTTAAGGAAATTATTAGCCTGGGTACTTTTAAGACGTTCATGCAGTCTCCTATCCTCAACTCAGTTGACCCTGCTCGCAATTTTCGGTAATTGCGGAAATATTATGATCCACCTCAGAAACCTCAGAAACGTGTGACAGCCTTGTTAGTTCCTCAAACTTAAAATGGATCTCCGTATTGGTACACATTTTGAGGTGGATCATATCATTTTTTACGAATTCCGACTGTTAAGGACTCCTCTCGTTCGATAAAATGGTCAGTAGACTGAGGGATAGCGAGGCTGCAGTTTGTCTCTCTTCGCTTTTGGGGCTAGCAGGAAGGAAGACTGTGTTGGATATTCGTTAAGATTGCACTAGGCGATAATTGATCTGTGTGATGGCAAATTGCATGTTATCATGGCTACAATTCTTTAAATTACTAACCTCTTAAATCCAGCTTATTACCTACAATCGGTCGACATTTCAAAAAGGTGTCATTCGTATTTGCCATCATACGCTAGCTCTATCCCAATCACATGCCTTGCAGACCCAAGGTCAACACTCAGGCCGTTCAGTGCTCTGTCAATGACCCTGGAGCCCACACCTGTCGACTTAAAAGGAGCACTCAAACTATGCCGATTTCACTGCGGAATACAGCATTTATGTTGTGCTGTGAGGCTTAGGGCTAGCGCACTCGCAGGCGGTCGCATAGTGACTTTCATTCATTCATACATGATGTCTTCACGATAAAGAAAGAGAGAGGGAGAGAAATACGCTTTACTTTGAAAGCATCATTCCAAAATTTTCGACGAATAAATCCGTCCATTCTAAAAGAATTGAATTAGGCGCACAAACTCACAACACTGGTATATCAAAAGTTATCCATAATCACAAATGACTGCAATTTTCGACATCATGGATAAATGTCCTAGAAAAATTCGTCAATTATAGGCCAAATTTGACTGCTTTCAAAACAGCGCTAGCGTTGTGACTTTGTGCCCTCATGACCTCATTGTACTTCAGATTAAAAAAAGAGGGATACAAATCGGTTTATAATGGGTGAAGTAGGCCAACCGACATGTATATAAGATAATTTACATGCGAATAGCGGGAGGGAAAAAACGGCGGCTCAAATTGAAAAGCTCGCACAATGAGGCGTGTTGCGTGAATACTGTTTGCTTTCTACAGTTATTACTTTTTTGTCTTCAAAGTCACTGACAAACTAACTGCCTCTATTTCCTTTTTTGCAGGGGACAACTTGTCTGCACTACGCTG